AAACCTATACCAAGAAGCTGTTGTTTGAACAGAGCAAGGGAACATTACATGGTTAAAATCAAGAAAAGAGTAGGTCAAAGATGCATCATTTCTTTGTACTTTTTCAATCTATATGTTGAACAGATAGTTCAAGAGGCTAGACTTTGTGAAGAAGAATGTGGTATAAGAATTTGAGGAAAACACATCAACAACCTGCATTATACAGATGAGACAATCTTGTCACCAAAACTGAGGAGGACTTGAAAAGCTTGCTGCAGAAGATCAAGGACTGCATCCTTCAGTATGGATTGCATTGCAGCATCAAGAAAACAAAATCATCACCACTGGGCCAATATGCAGCATCACAATAGATGGAGTAAAGATTGAAGTAGTTAATAATTTCATCTTACTTGGATCTGAATCAACAACATTGGCACCAGCAATCAGTAAATCAAAAGAGAAATTGCACTGGGAAAATCTGCTGTCAAGAACCTCTCCAGAGTGCCAATGAACAATGATGCTAGTCCAGAGACTAAGGTGCACCTGATCAATACCATAGTCTTCTCAATTGCTTACTATCATCTGAGAGTTAGACAATGAATAAGGATGACAGAAAAATTTATTCCTTTGAGTTGTGATGCTGAAGAAAAGAATTGGCCATACCATAGACTGCCAAGAGAACAAACAAGTCCTGAAAAGGGTGAAAACAGCTTGCTTCTTGGTGGCAAGGTTTTGAAACTCTGTCTCATATACCTTGTGCATGTTGTCAGGAGGTATCACTTCCTGGAGAAAGACATCATGTTTGGAAGGGTGAAGGGAGAGCACAGGAGAGAAAGATCCTGAATGAGATGGATTGACAGTGACCGTGGTCATGGGGTTAGGTACGCCAGAGATGGTGAGGTTGGCTCAGGATGGGGAAGGGTTCAGAGCTGTTGTTGATAAGGTCACTATGAGTCATGGCCAATTTGACAATATATAACAACAATATGAATAAAAAGAATAATATTTATTATTAAAGTTACAACTCAAAAAATTGTCTTATTGAGGAGTGAATTTTTGTTTACGAGGTAAGAAAATCTCAGAAAAGGAGGATGAGAATGATTACACAACTTAAAGAATGTCACTAAATGGGTTATGTACAAACTTGAATTTTTTTATGCTTTCTTCTGTATATTTTTAAAAACCCAAAATATTAAAACTAGTATTTATTACATATACAAATGCCAACCACATTTCTTGAACTGTCAATTTTCTTTAATATATATAAAATTTAACTCAATTTTTGCCAATAAATATTACATGCACAGATACATTTAGTAAAGAACATTTTATCCTTCAACAAGGAGAGCCCAATGGTAGAGGTCTCTATTGTAGCTGTTCTAACAATCCCTATTAATGCTTAATTATGCACAAGAAATTGTAATAATTCCTTAATACTAGAGGGAAAATGGCATTTTCTTTCACAGCTATGCAATTCTTTGGGGAATCACAAAACTTGAGTCTTTATTATAAATGAAAATCCAAGAATGGCCCTTACTGAACAAACACTATCAAATCATTAGGATAGATAGTCTCAAGTCCCAAAAGACCATGATGCAAGGAAATAATCATATATAATACCTTCACCTGGTCTTTCATCTTGACCATAAACATGAACTGTGCCATTGGGAAGAAAATCTCCTTCAGGTTTCACTTTTTGCCACCTATGAGACTAAATCATTCAATTTCTCAGGAGCTTCACCCATGCCTTTTGCTCCAGGGAGTGATATTTTATCTTGTTTCTCTGAACTCCTTTTCAGCATTCTTCCAAGGAGTTGAGTGTAATATGTGAGCCACAAATATTCCTTTTTCCCCCATGAATTTAATAGAAAATGTTTTATTCTTGTCCTTGACAAAATCAGGTATATTTTTATTTGATTCAAATGAAACTCAGCAAAAAAAAAAAAAAATAATAACAATTACAAAACTTAGTGATGAAAATTTTTCTTCTTGTTTCACTGAGTCTAGAATATATTTTTAAATTTGAATTTCCCCTCTGCATAAAATAAATAAGGCATTCTGGTTGACTAATGGGTAGAGAGTTGCACTGTCAACCCAAAGACAGGCTGTTCCACTAGTTGTTACACAGAATAATTCTGGGCAATCCCTTCCTATGCCATTTACAGCCTCTGAAAATCCACTGGAGAGTCAGCCATGAGTCAGTTCCAACTCAACGCCAATGAGTAAGTATGATACAGTAAATAAGATCTGTCTACAAAGGACTCCAGGGTTTCAAATGAAGGATATATTCACTAATTACTAAAGGAAGATATATTTTGCAAGGTCAGTAGATATAATATGGAATATATTTCTTTCCAGAAATATCTCCTCCCTCAAGCCCATATATTCGTTTTAATTTCATTAATGTTGCTTAATTTTATGTGAATAAATTCTAGCCTAAATAACAAAAATACTAGGCAAGTGTGTATTTTTGTTGTTTCTCATGTCTAGGATTTACTCTATCTAAATTGTAATGTTGGGCAATATCCTTCTTAGGAATCAGAACCAAGAAGAGTAAGTATTGGTAATTTCAAGCAAATCTACAGTCAGTCACCACTCTCTACATAAAACAAATTAGTCAAGACTGTAGAGAGTAGAGTTTTGTGCAAATAGGAAAAAAACCTACTTAAAAGATAACCTAAACAAAATTGTAAGATATCATTCAAACAAAATATTAAGAGATACGATTCCCTACAGAACATGAGTGATTATTGAATGAATTCTCCCTTTAAAAATATTTAACAGTACAGAATTTCTGTTTGGGGTGGTCAAAAAGTTTCAGAAGTTGCTAAGATGCTGGATAACATTTATGCCATTGACATGTACAGTTAGATTTTTTTTTCTAAATGGAAAATTAATGCTATATGTATTTTACCATTGTTGTTCACTGTAGAGTTTCCAACCGTCCCATAGCTGACCCTCTAGTGTGTTTTCAGAGGCAGTAAATGGCATGAGAGGAGATTGTCCATCCTTCTCCCACATATTTTACCATAATAAGAAAAAAAACAATAAACCTAACTTAAGTTCAAAAGACTGAGCTTAGATAATCTAAGGATTTACCTGGTCTTTTTGCTTTGTTATTATATAAAAAATCATTACTAAAATAATCTAATTAAAAAAAGGAACAATAACAACAATAAAAAATACCCAGTCCTTCTATTTTAGGTAACATCTCAATAAGCCTCTACAAGTGAGTCAACCATGCATATGGTAGAACCTGAAGAAGCCCTATCCAGAAATATGTCAGGAACTTGTCTGGCTCAGGGTCTTAGGTTCTTATATTAAAAAAAGCTTCTCTAAATGTTCCTCATAAAATGCAAAAATATTGTAGTTGATTTGAAAAGATAACATAATGTGTTAAAATGTTATAGTTAACCATGAGGGCTGAATCTGTCACAGCCACAATTGTTTCTCTATCAGCCATTAGCACACTAAAAAGCTTAGTGCATGTGTTTTTGGGTTTTGTGGGGTTTGTTGTTTTTTGGTGGGGTTTTTTTCCATTAATTACTTTACCTAGAACTCTAGAGGCCTAGTTGGAAAGGAGTTGCACTTCAAACTCGAAGACAAGTTGTTTGAATCCACTCACTAGCTCTTTCATGGAAGAAAAATGGGCAATGTCCTCTCTTGCTATATACAGCCTCTCAAAATTTACAGGACAGTCAGTCCCCATTCAATGGCAATGAATGAGTAACAATTACTGCAATAGGTCAGAGAGACAGCCTGTGAAAGCAGGAGGACTGAATTTTTACTGAATAACAACTACTTAGGGTAGAGGTAGCAGGAAGGAGAAAAGTGAGAAGTTTCAATTTTCAGATTTGTACAGATATAAAACACATAGATTAGACATCATAATGAAGTGTAGAAAGAAATAAATGCTTGTTTAGAAGTAAAACTTAAAAGGAGCAAAAGTGGGAAAGGAAAGTGAAGAACATGAAATCTTCCCAGAAATAGAAAATCTATCTATAGAAAATCTAGCTTACCATATAACTTGTCTTGTACCACTTTGGATATGCTATCATAGGCAAACTAAATTTAATCCCAGTCACTCAAAACTACTGCCTCACTAATACCAAACGCAATGATGGCCATATCTACTTCACATATTCAAGTGGAAATGTACCAAAATGCCTATTCACAGTAATTAGAAGCCAAAATACATACCTCTGCTTTACAATATGTAGGATATCTGGCAGTCAAGAAGAGGTGGTAGGAACATTTGTTTTTCTATCAAGCAATGTATTAATCATAAATACATGAAGGAACTTAAAGGACTATCTACTCTAGCATGAAAGCAGTCTCCTTTTTTTGGTATCTTTCAAATTCTATTGGTATGTTGAAGGTACTGGGAGTAAAAATAAACATTAATTTGTGCACTCCTTCGAAACAGTTTTTTAAAATAAATTTATTTAAATATTTTCTTTTTATATCAGTATTACAAATCACAGGAGCTCTTGTGACATATTCTGTAGAAAGTTGCTATGTTAACCCAAAAATGACATCTCTGGAAGTTCGAATTCACCAGCAACTTCACAGAAGAAAGAGGAGCAATCTCCACCCATGTGACAGACAACCTCTGAAAACCACTGGAGAGTCAGCAATAAGTCAGTTTCAACTCAGGAACAATGAGAGAAAAGATAGAGTATGAATTATGATGTGGGCATTCATAACACTATTGCAAAAACTTCACATACATGGAAATATCTGATACACTGATATCCCTGTAATATTCATAGTGCAGGTAGACAGACAAAAGTATAAATGCGTTAAATATAGATAATTTGCCAAAATCACCAAAATGTGCATTTCTAGTTGCTAGTCTACTTTTCTTAGTCAGGTCATTATTTGTTCTCAGTTCGTGTTTTATCCCTTTTATACTGTGTTCTATTAAAATGAGATCATGTGCTCAAAGGATAAATCATTAAAATCAGCTTTGTGACTTAGGCAAACATCTATTTGTTGCTTAAGCAGAAATTTATCAAATTATGAAGAATATTAGAGACACCAACATTCCTCATTACAATTTAACAGTGCCACCTGTCTTCTCCATGTCTTCCAGACTAAGGAATGCATCTAGCAGAGACATCACCAACTCCGTTACTCACTTTATCCTCCTGGGCTTTCCTTCAAGCCCAGAAGGGCAGCTCCTCTACTTCGGGGTCTTCTCAGTAACCTACATGTTGACCGTAATGGGGAATGCAATCATTGTCTGTGCTGTGTGGTGGGACCAACGTCTTCATACTCCTATGTACATATTCTTGGGAAATTTCTCTTTTCTAGAAATATGTTATGTCACTACAACCGTCCCTAATATGTTAATCAACTTCCTTTCCACAAGCAAGTCCATCTCCTTTGTTAGTTGTTTTGCACAGTTTTACTTCTTCTTCTCTTTGGGCTGTGATGAGGGCTTCTATCTTTGCATCATGGCCTTTGATAGATACCTTGCCATCTGCCGTCCTCTACATTATCCACTCATCATGACTAAAGAGTTGTACACTGGACTGGTCATCTTTGGATGGTCTGGTGGATTTATCCTTTTTGTAACCCCCATTGTTCTTATATCACGCTTGCCATATTGTGGGCCAAATATCATCAACCATTTTATATGTGATCCTGTCCCATTGATGATGCTATCTTGTTCTGAAGACACCACCACACAGTTTATTTATTCTACTTTCAATGTTATCTTCATGATTGGCACTTTTCTCTTTGTCCTTTGCTCCTATCTTCTGGTGATTCTTGCTGTACTACGGATGCCCTCAGCAGCAAGCAAACGCAAAGCTTTCTCTACCTGTGCTTCCCATCTGACTGTGGTGGTCCTATTTTTTGGCTCTGTAATGGTGATGTATGTGAACCCAGGATCAGAACACCCAGTGAAAATGCAAAAAATTGTCACCTTGTTTTATTCTGTGATAACACCTTTATGCAATCCTTTAATATACAGCCTCAGGAATAAGGAGATGATGGCTGCTCTAAGGAAAATCTTTGGGTCTGAACAAATTACTCATAAACTATAAATGAGAATCAGATTATATCTCACAAATGCCATTCACTTTAATAAGGCATGTGTGATATATTTTCTTGCAAAATTTATTAAGCTTTGTTAAGCAATTATTATAACAAAAACCCATTATCATCTTAAATAGAATGACCTTTTGAAAACTAAGTTGTAGCTGATCAATTACCTCATATGCACATGAAAACTTGACAAGGTATGAGGAAGATCAAAGTATAATTGATACTTTTTAATTATTAGGTTGGCAAAAAAAAATATATTAAATACACCATAGATTGTCAGAAGAATGAACAAATCTGTCTTGGAAAAAAAGTACAGTCAGATTGTTCCTTGGAAGTAAAAATGGTGAAACTTTGTACATGTACTTTAGATATGTTATCAGGAAGGATCAGTCCCTGGAGAAGAGCATCATACTTGGTCAGTGAAAGACCATTAATATGGAATTATATGGTGGCAGCAACAATGGAATCAAAATGCAACAACAATTATGAGGATAGAGCAAGACCGGACAGTGTTTCCTCCTGTTGACAAAGCCAACTTGGCAACATCTGTCAACAACATCATCTTAAAAATCATCACAAAACCCTTAAAATATTCTAAGAAGAATATATTTTACCAAGTTGTTATAGTAAATACCATGTGTCAATGTGGCCACAGCTCTCTGTATAATGGAACTGTTATTTATGTATTATAAACTCCAAAACTTTATGTTATGAATGTATTCTAAAAATCCTAAACTGTACAATGAGCGAGGATTTGAGGCCATTGTTGTTGTTGTTGTTATGTGCCATCAAGTCGCCTGAGGCTCATAGCAACCCTGTGTACAAGAGCACTGAATGTCGTTCTATCCTGGGCCAACTTAGCCATCTCAAACGCACTTATTCCCACCGCTCCAGTCACAGAATCGACCCATCTCATCAAAGGTCTTCCTCTCCTTTGCCGCCCCTCCACTCTGCCAAACATGATGTCCCTCTCCAAGGACCAGTCTTTCCTTGCAACATGCCCAAAGTATGTCAGATGAAGCCTCAGAATCCTTGACTCCAAGGAGCATTCTGTTTTCACCCTCTCCAGGTCAAACCTGTTTGTTCTCCTAGCAGTCCATGGTATATTCAACGCTCTTCTCCAGCACCACATCTCAAAGGCATCAATTCTCTTTCTATCATCCTTATTCACTGTCCAACACTCTGATGCATAACACGGCCATTATATCATAATATAATCAGCCTAATCTAATAAAGGGTAAGTCTCCTCAGCCATGTGACCTTCACTGATACATGCGTATGGACTCTCTGGTCAAGCTATAAGGCTTTTGGTCCAATTTTGCATCTGGTTTATGATCTCAAGCTTTGAACCAGTGGTCGACACTACCTGCCAACCTGATCTTTGCCTCTTTTGCCTCTAAAGTCAGCAATCTTTGACTCTGTTCCCTGACTTGACCTTGAACTCATTAGGCTCCCAACACAATTCTACTCCACTCCTCTGAAGTCTAACTCAAAGATCAAGGACTTCACAGCATCTTCAATTGAATAAATCATCTCTTTGAATCTTTCTTTTTCTCTGTGTATATACATGCGTGTATATGTATGTGTGTGTGTATGTATGCATATTTATGTATGAAATTAGTTTTTCTCTAGAGTGCCTAGACTAAGACATATATGAATGAAATGAAGTTTTGTGTTAAAAATTATTAATTTTATAAAAAATTTATTCTTTTTTATTTATTAATAAAATTTTATTAATCTTTAAATACATGACATTGTATGTATCTATGTATTTGTCATTTAGGAAACTCTATAGAGTCTTAGTGGTAAATAGTTGAAGTGCCATCCCAAAGGTATATGGTTGAGTGCACAAGCTTCTCAGTGGGAGTAAGATAGTCTCTGTCATGTCATGTCATTTTCTGAGAACCCACTGAAGGGTCAGGTATGAGTGGGTTTCAACTCAACACCTCCTAACAGAAGCAACATGTATAATTCATTTTCTTTAAGCAAGACAGGAAGGTACTTTGTACTGCTGATCTGAAGCAACTTACATATGCAAAATAAAGACTGCTTTGGGAATTTAGCATTTAAGCCCATAATTCTTCACTGGGATATTGTTGTTGTTGTTGTTGTTGTTGTTATGTGCCGTCGAGTCACTTGCGACTCATAGCAACCCTATGTACAACAGCCCTAAACTCTGCTCTGTCCTGTGCCAATCACACTATCTCTGACACTCCCACCAGTTTACCCCAGTCGCTGAATCTATCCACCTCATAGAGGGCCTTCCCCTCCTGCGTTGTCCCTCCATGCTCCCAAGTATGATGTCCTTCTCCAAGGACCAGTCTCTCCTCACAACATGTCCAAAGTATGTTAGACAGAGCTTCAGAATCCGTGCCTCCAAGGAGCCACCCGGTTTAAC